TATTTGGTTTAGATTTTAATTTGGGATATATCCCAATTGTCAATTGGGGCAGATTGTGATTTGGGGCACAACATATACATATATATCATTTACTTTATAATCTTTAAATTTAAATACCAGTGGTGTTGTTTATAGGTCAAGGGTTGTAGTGATGACTGAAAAATAGAATAGTAAGAGTAGGGATGCATCTATGTACAGAGTTAGATATATAGTAAAATGACCCATTTGGTTTGTTGAATCGAGACTGACTATTGGTGTTAGCACAAATTTGGCCATTTTTGTTAATCGAGTACATTGTTTGGAAATGAACAGTGACGAATATTTTGACATGGAGATTAAGCGTCGTGTCTCGCACATGCAGACTGTGATTGATTTGAGGGGAAAATAATATTTGGTAAAGGATAATTTACGAAAAAATTCATTCATTTCTTATTATTCTATTTAACACGCAGGAACGTCGAAAATCTGTAAGTAGTCTCAGAAAGACAAATATAAAATATCGACTGGAAAGTCCTCGATCAACAACTAAAAAATGACCATGATCAACAGGATAAAAGTCGTCGATGAAGATTTACAAATTTTTCAGCAATCATTATGAAACTAATGATAAGATGTGTTGATTCTGTGGATGTGAGAGGCATAGGAGGTGCAGCAGCTAAGAAAAAGATTTTTGGTTTTGATGAGTTATTGCTCGTTATTACATATCGTTTACCAAAGATTCAGATCGAACGCGTCCAGCAACAGATATTATCATAAAAACCTTGAAACGTCCATTAGTCTCCAGAAAAAAAAATTGAAAATGGGAAACTTAGGGGAGTGACAGATATCAGCTAATATTCTTTTTGGGGGGGGAGGGGATGGCCAAATCTCAGGTATTAATATAAATTTCACGTGCATGTGTTAAATGAAATCTCAGGAGGGGGCCCCTATAACAAAATGGATATTAGCTAATATCTGTCACTCCCCTTAATGGTAGTAAAAGAAATTATTATTGAGGAACAAGAGATAAATTATTGTTATTCTTGTGAATATGAAATAAGATTTTTCTAATTTTTCTTAGGTGAATGAATCGATCTTTATTCTTGTTTATGAAAGCCGAACTGGTCGGGCTATTAGGAAAAATTCGGTTTATCGAGAGGTATTTAGAAGTTACTGAACTAACTTCGGCTTATCGTGGTTTGGGCTTAACGAGAGTTTGACTGTATGTATAGTAATTTATTCGTTAACGTTGTTATTGTGATTGCGGTTGGATGTTAATGAAATCATAGAGATTGCAATAGTCGTCGTTGTTGATAATCAAATTATTGGGAAATCAGTGTTATTATTGATTTGATTTCGATTGTTGTAGTTATTATCATTATTTTGATCGTTATTATTGTTGATAATCCAATTATTGGGAACGAAATCAGTGTTATTATTGTTTTGATTTTGATTGTTGTAGTTATTATCATTATTGTGATCGTTATTATTGTTGATAATCCAATTATTGGGAACGAAATCAGTGTTATTATTGATTTGATTTCGATTGTTGTAGTTATTATCATTATTGTGATCGTTATTATTGTTGATAATCCAATTATTGGGAACGAAATCAATGTTGTTATTGTTTTGATTTTGATTGTTGTTGTTATTCTCATTATTGTGATCGTTGTTATTGTTGATAATTTGATTTTGATTGTAATTGTTTTTCATTGTCACCGGGACAGGAAAGATTGAAAATAGATCTAGTGGAAGATCATCAAATGTTCCATGCTTTTTAACAAGTTCAAAAATTTCATTATCTTTCGAACAAATTATCTTGTCTTTAATGTCTAAAGCTTTGTCCCTTGCTTCAATAATCATCTTTAAACATTCCTCGTTCTTCTGTTTAGTTTCGAGTAAATATCTGTTATCATTTTCGCTAATCTTTAATCTTTGTTTGAGATCCGACAATTTATCCTCAAGACTTAATATTGTCGCTTTTAATGTCTTGACTCCTCTTTGAGCCTTCGCTGAAACAAATGAATGTATGATAAGAAAATATTAGAATTATATCGAAGAAATTATAAATTGAATTGATTATATGAAAAAAACAGCATACATGCTATAGCAGCCTTCGTGCTAATGTTGTGGTTGTTATTTAGATTGTAGTTATAATCATTATTGTGGTTGTTATTTAGATTGTAGTTACAATCATTATTGTGGTTGTTATTGAAATTATCATTATTACTCAAACTATTGGGATCGATATAATTATTATCACTAGTAGAGATAATTTCATACTTTTTATGAAGTTCAGAAATTCTAAAAACTTTCGAATCAATTATACTTTGTTTACCGGCTAAGGTTTCTACCGTTATTCTAATAATATACTTTATATAGTTCTCGTTCTTCTGTTTAGTTTCGAGTAAATTTTTGTTATCATTTTCTCTAATCTCTAATTTTTGTTTGAGATCCGACAATTCTTTGTCAAGAATTGATATTGTTGCTTCTAAATTCTTGACTTGTTCTCTTTGAGCCTTCGCTGAAATAAATGTGTGTATAATAAGAAAATATTAGAATTATATCGAAGAAATTATAAATTGAATTGATTACAGACAAACCTCCCTAAATGCACCCCCCTTGGAACCATAGTAAAGCGTGCATTTAGAGGGGATGTGCATTTATAGAGGGCAACATATATAGAGCTCTTATGAGCTGGAACCCAGCCATGCTGTGCATTTAGAGGGTGTGCACTTATAGAGGGTGCACTTAGGGAGGTTTGTCCGTATATAAAAAAACAGCATACCTGTTGTAGCAGCCGCCGTGCCAGATAGTGGTTTCCTCGAGAATGATGACATGTATTTTTTTAAACGAAAAATAAATTGTAGAAGTTTTATGGACCTGCTTTTTATTCGTTTGTCATATCGTTTTTTCTCCCTTTTTATCGTTTTTTGATATGGTATATTATGCGGTGTTTTAACACAACATAATCGCATATGGTTTCCCCGAATAAATTGTAGAAGTTTTACGGACCTGCTTTTTATTCGTGTCATATCGTTTTTTCTCCCTCGTTTTTCGTTTTTTATCGTTTTTTGATATGGTATATTATGCGGTGTTTTAGCACAACAACATAATTGCATCCTGGTTACATGATTGATGAAATTCGTAATTCATCACATGATTTCTAGATTGATTGATAGATAACTCATCACATGATTTCTGGAAATTCCGTAACTAGTCACATGAATAAATTTTATATGTCAGCAAAATTATCTTAATTCAGGCCAAAACTATAATTATATAAAATACAAACTTTCTTAGTTGCCGGCAAACAAAGAACATAAAAAACAATATTTAAAAAAAATAATGACCACTCAAGTTTCTTATGCAAGTCAGTCTCGCTAAGACGGTCTTTATTACATTATATTAAAATTGACATTTGTCATTTTGATATATTGAGTTATGAGAATGTGGTAAGATATTAATAAAAAATTTTGTGCGAAATTAACGGCGCCCGACCTGTATTTATAAGAAAAAGAAAATTTGCGAACTCGACTTGTATTTATTTATACAATAACAGTTTTTCCTTTTTAAAAAAGAACGAACAGAAAGAAAGAAAAAAGTAAAAAGGAAAAAGGAAAAAGTAAAAAGTAAAAAGGAAAAAGTAAAATCATGGCTCTTTTATACCAATGTACCTGGATAACAATGTTTTTTTATATTGTGTATAAGAGGTGTTAAAAGTAACGTTGATTCATTACTAAAAGTGATATCGATTATATAAGAGGATATATATATAAGCGGTGTAACTCTAATGAGGTATTATCGTTATAGAGTACTTATTAATAATTAATGAGTATTCTCATACTTTTTATCAGTCATTATATTTTAAAACCTTTAAAAAAATAGTTAATTCTAATAGGATACATGCTAAGGAATCTTTTTGTATTATAAAACTTTTTTCTGATTTTATATGTTCAAAAAAAAAAGTTAAAGCATATTTTTTACATTTTCAATAAAAACGGCAAAAAAAACGTACCACCACTTTGGCGCGGATCGACATGGATTATAGACGAACTGACATATTGAAATGCCAATTTTTTGTATTTCTTTTGTATCACGGTAAATCTCACCCCTGATTGGTAGTTACACAATATTATCAATATATCGGTAGTGTTAGAAATGTTGTGGCCCAAATCACAATTGTATATTTGGTTTAGATTTTTATTTGTGATATATCCCCAACAGAAATGTACTTTTTCCTTTTTCTCTATTGTGATCGACTTTTTTCCTTTTTCTCTCTTTCTGTTCGTTCTTTTGTATCACGGTAAATCTCACCCCTGATTGATAGTTACACAATATTATCAGTTATGGATGGCCATTATCGTTATCAGTACATTGGTATATAAATGATGAATACAAGTCAAGTTCGCAAATTTTCTTTTTCTTTTTCTTATAAATACAGGTCGAGCGCCGTTAATTTCGCTAAAAATTTTTTATTAATATCTTACCACATTCTCATAACGCGATATATCAAAATGACAAATGTCAATTTTAATATAATCCGTCTTAGCGAGACTGACTTGTATAAGAAACTTGAGTGTTATTATTTTTTTTAAATATTATTTTTTGTTCTTTGTTTGCTGACAACTAAGAAAGTTTGCATTTTATACAATTATAGTTTTGGCCTGAATTAAGATAATTTTACTGATAAATAAAAATTTATTCATGTGACTAATTACGGGATTTCCGGAAATCATGTGATGAGTTATCCATCAATCTAGAAATCATGTGATGAATCACGAATTTCATCAATCATGTAACCAGATATGCGATTATGTTGTGCTAAAACTCAAGGATTACAACGTATACCCGCATCAACAAAAACGATAAAAAACGAAAAAAAGAGAAATAAAAAACGATATGACAAACGAATAAAGAAGCGGGAGTTTTTGTTACAAATTTCTTCGTAAAACTTTACAAATTACTTTTCGTTTAAAACATTATACATGTCATCATTACCGAGTAAACCACTGTCTAGCACGGAGGCTGCTATAGCATGTATGCTGTTTTTTCTTCATATATTTAATTAAATTTATAATTCTAACATTTGCTTCTATATTTCAGCTAGGACTCAAAGAGGACAAGTCAAGACATTAAAAGCAACAATCTTAGACCTTAATAAAGAAGTGTCGGATCTGAAACAAAAATTGGAAATTAGCGAAAATAAGAACAAATATTTACTCGAAAGTAGCAAGAAAGCCGAGCAGTATTTAAATAATTATATTAAAGTAGCGGAAGCAGCCTTAGCTGCTAAAGACATTATAATTTCTGATATTGTTAAAAGTTATAGAAATGATCTCTCTATTGATGAGAACAATAACAGCATTAATAACAATTACAATCGAAATCAAATCAATAACACTGATGTCGATTTCAATAGTTTGTTTAACGACGATGATTTCAGCATTATCAATAACTATGACGACGACTACCACAATAATTATTATTACTACAATCTAAACGACAACCGCTATGATAACCACATCATTAACATCAACGAAATCGACCGCAATCACAACGATAACGAATAAATTACTATACATACAGTCGAACCCCGTTAAGCCGAAACCACGATAAGCCGAAGTTTGTTCCAGGAACAGTTTCAGTAAACCCTTCTCGATAAACCGAATTTACTAAATAAATCTTGATAAATTGAATCTGTCAAATAAAATAACAATAATTTCCCTATTTACTACTATTAAGTTACCCATTTTCAATTTTTGCTTTTCTGTGCATATGACTGATGGCCGTTTCAATATTTTATGATGATATCGGTAGCTGGTGTCTGCAGGGCGCGTTCAATTTGGTTACTAGAATCTTCGGTAAAACGATATGTAATAACCAGAGCAATCAGAAACAGGCTATTTTTACACACATTCGTAATCTCTTCACCTTTTCTTAGTTGCTGCACCGATTAACAATCTCATGTCCTCCTATACCTCTCACATCCAACAGAATCAACAGTTTGTCCGTATTAGTTTCATCGACGACTTTTGTCCTGTCGATAATGATCTTAGTTGTTGGCCCGATATTTATATTTGTCGTTCTCTGAGGTTACTATTAGATTTTTTGATGTTCCTGGGTGTTCTTTATAAAGTAAATACTTGGAATGATACTGAGAATCTGAATGCAAAACTACCAATTCCTTAAATGATTCTAATGAAACTAAATATATCTTTTTCGTATGATTTATTAAAATTACCCTTAACCCAGTACACAGTAAAACTCGATATAGCGGAGGCTAATAAAAACTCGACATTACGGATTGAGGTTCAGAACGGATTATAATAAATCCTCGATATAACGGATTTCTTAATTAAAACTAATGATTCCGTTATATCGAGTTTCACTGTGTATTCTTTTTCCCTCGAATGAAACGTCACAGTTCAACGCTCAATATCCATGTCTGAATATTCTTCCTTGTTCAATGTTCTCACATGCAAACCCTGTAAAAAAAACGGGTCGTTTTTGATCCGGAAAATTCCCGATTTTTGAGTCTGATTTTTTTCTGATTTCTAATATCCGATTTAAATCCGGAAATTCAATGGTTTTGTTAACAAATTTCCGGAAAAATAT